CTATTGGTGTGCGCATTTGGAAGTCTTATCAACGGTACGTTTCTATAAATAAATTGATTTTAATACTATCATGTCTTTGGTGAACATTTTTTTTTAATTTTTTAATTTTTGCACAAAGATGAAATTTGGATTTATATGGTTTTTGTTAGATATACTTTTATAAAAAATTAACAAACATTAAACAAACAAAATAAAGATCGTTGAAACTGGTAAAAATATCGCACTCCTGTGTATGTATCCAGATTTTGATCAAAATTTATGTGCAAATCAAAATCTTAATAAGTATAAATTGTTTCTATTTATGTAATCAATATATATGAAAATAATAATTACAGCTCATTGGCATCAAAACCACTATTGAGCGAAGTAATCAATCAAAATGTGAATTTTGGATTTTTTTTTTTTTTAGTTACGGCCTTTTGCGTTTAGAAGAAGACTATGCATTATTACGTATTTGTAGTTAAAGTAATGCACTCGCTTATTAGAAAACGATATTAAAACTTTAAATTTAGTTAAATTTAGGCGAAGCATGTAGCTGCAAGGATCTTCGATTTTAAAATGATTTAAAAATTTAAATGAGCAAAATAGGTTTTCATTAAATTTGAAGTGATATGCAAAAAATAGTTAGATTTAAGAATAGAACTGCACATAACTATTTTTCTAGAATACAAAATAAAATGTAACTTTATGCTTACGAACTAAATTCAAAAACTGTATACATATATATTAGCAAAATATGGCTACCTACACACATAAATCTTGACCATTGTAAATGTAGTGTTAGCGTAGTGTAGGGCGCTGCTTAGCTTAAATTCAGTGCATAAAAAATAGCTTCTAGAAGCCTACATACATACATACATATTATGTACATATGTACTTGGATGTACATACTTTAATATCGCTTATCGTAATAACGGCGCTTAAATATATTTGAAACATTTTTGCTTGTCGTGCGGTATTCGCGTTTTAAAGAGTATTGAATCGGCGCGGTATTGTGTATTCAATAGTGGTGTGTAGCCGAAAACCTGCACAAAGAAATTGATGCATTTATGGCGCTCTTGGAAATGTGTGTCGTCCTCGCTGAGCGACACCGGACATCCGGGGCAGCGAAAAGTCCAACGTGACGTCACTTTTACGGGCGGCTTACGTGTTATGTGCGAGACCAAGAAATTCATGGCAATATCCTCACAGTTCATATACTCATCCACCTTGTCTCGTATCGCCTGTGGCAAGTGGTATGTGTACAAATACATATAATATTTGTGTATGAATGCAGCACCCGTCAGCACCATGCTCAGCTCGCAACTGTAATTGGAATTGTAGTTCCAATTGCGATTGGAGTTCAAGTCCCAGGCTAGAAATCGCCCCGGGAAGCCTACAACACGATCGCGATGCTCACGCCAAACTCTGAAACCGAATAAAATCTCATCGTGTCGCAAGTGTGCATCGTCATCCACCGAGAGCACTGCCTCAGTTTCGATAACGTCGAAGGGTAGGAAACGATTATTCAGCGAGTTGCGCGGTGCGCGTACCACAGCCACTGGCACACCAATGTCGGGCCAACGCAAGTCATCTAGCGGTGGCTTTGGTGAATTCCAAACTACCACGACCTTGTGCAAATATGGCAAGCCATAGAGGCGGCCAAGAGAATCCATAAGTACCTGCTCACGCTCGTACGTAAGTATTACGATAGTGAATTGTTCGCGTGGATAGTTGCCGCCTAGTGCTTCGCTGAACTCTTTTCCAGCGCCACCACTGCCTTTGCCGATCGGACGAAAGCCCATGTGGGATCCAAGGAATTTAGCGTCTGCGGGTAGTACAGGGTCAAAAGGTAGTTGTGGATACATGTAAAACGGATCGACCCAATCATTCCAAGCTTCACTCGATTGCGTACGTAAAATTGTGTAATTACGCCTGTATGTAGGACTAGGATACGGTGGTTCGATGGGACCCAACGATTCCTCCGGTTCTGTATCTAAACCAACTGGGGGATCCGATTTGAGCGGTATAAATGTGTTGTTGAACACGCTTTGCGCGACAATCGGTGACACTGGGCGCGGTGGTATGCCAAGACGATCACGCAAACTGGCAATGATTGTGTCCACCGTAGCTTGCACCGAACTCAGATAGCGCTCCCAAATCAGTCGACCTTGACGCCGCATTTGCAAGAGATCAGCATCCTGCACGGCACGCAACAGGAAATGCAGTTCGGTAATGCGCGCTTTAGGCAGCAGTAGTGCTAGTCGCCGCCAATCGATAGTTTCTGCATAAGGCAGACGAACTTCGTCAGCGCCGAGTATGACAGGTATGGCGCCGGACCTGAGCGCTTCATATAGGCGCGCTAACATCAGTGTAGAGCTTATCCTTTTCTCCAATGGCGGAAGAATCAGCACGAATGTCGACTCTTTGAGTATGGATTTGCGCGAAGAGTCCGTACCGCAAAGTGCCCAATCCACAAAAGCTGCTTTGTCCGATTGCTCCGTGGCTGGCATGCATGTGAATTGCAACAAGAATTTATCTTGAGTGGCGCCTTTGGCCATCTCCGCCAGATGATCTAAAATAAAGTCGTCTAACGGATGCGACTGCACTGTTTTGTCAGCTGGGCGTAATTCGCCTTGAAAAGTTAACAGATATGTGCGACGCGCTGGCACCATCAGCGCACATTCCTGCCAGACATCCCCGCCAGGTGGCCCCAAAATTGGTGGCACAACTATATCATAATTGGGACGAAATTGTAGCAATTCAAATGTGGACTGCACAACTATCGCACGCATTGTGTTTTGATTGATAAAAGCGTTTGTGCGCGTAGAATGCAAATCACGACGCGCCAAGTTTAGTAAAACGTGATTCCGTCCATCGCCACCCCAGTACGGCAACCGGTAAAGTTTATCCAAGTCAATGGGCAGGTCATCACTTTTAGGTGATTGCACGTCGGCTTTGTGTTCTTCCTCTTCAGCGGCATATCGATTGTTCTTCAGTAAATCATTTTCCAACATAGCTTCGCCAACGAGCACCAGGAATATACAAGCCATTCTGGGTTCCTGCACAATGTGTGCATTGTAGCCGAGAGTTTGTTTAATCGTGGTCTTCAAGAATCCATCGATATCGTAACCAGTACGCAACACGCTATAGGCGTCTGGATCATATAGGTACACAGGAAAACCAGACGTGAGACTACAGCGCGAGTGATCGAAGCAATTGTGCATTTCGCAGGGCAACGCTGCAGCTGCAGTTATTGCAGGCATTTTGCGCGGCAACACATAGGGATATAAAGTACGAGGCAGAGCTAAATCGGGTGTGTTGCGTTGGACGGCTTCACGTTGGGCCACTTGCGCTTGCTGTACAGAGATTTTCAAACGTTCCAGCTCGGTCTGTTCACGCATTAAATTTTGCTTCAAGTCCTCAATTTTTTGGTTGTATCCGCCTATATCCGCTTGCAATTTTTGTCGGCGCGACTCCAATTCACGCAATTCCACCGAAACAGTACTTTTTATGCGCAACATCTCTTCTATACGCATTTTCAAGTCGCTGGCACGCATCGAACTAAAGTCCTCGTAAGCATTTAGCAGCGGTCGGCTGCGATGGACATCTGAAGTGGGCACATCGTTGGCAGGATTTCGCAAGTTGCGTTGAGCGAATAGTGGCCAAAGTAGAAGCAGCAGCAATACAAGAAGCAACAATTTATAGATGCGTTGAAAACGAAACCAGGCAAAGCTCATTATGTTGCTACCACCGCCTGCAGTTCCACTGCAAGCACTACCTCCCGGGCAGGACCGTGCGGCACAATGCTGATTGCTTGTTAGCTGTGTGTAAGTCGAAGTTGTTTCCAAACAGCTGTTGGACATCTTCCACGACAAGTATCAACAAATGATCCGCCTAAAAAATTACAATTTTGTCAGGTGGAGCATTTATGAAGTGCGTACATAAATTGTACAATGTTGAAGTAAACTTAAACATACACGTAAGTAAATACATACAAATCTTAATAGAACAGAGTTTAAAACAATTCAATGGCAATTAAATAACTAAAAAACTGGGATATCTTTTAAGCGGCTCTAAAGCGACACAGAACTTTAAAATTGTATAAAAAATATGTATGTATTCATAGTAAAGACCATTAAAAGCACCTAATTTAATTTTTAACTTTTACGATTTTTTTTAGAACATCACAAAAATTGGCGAAGAGATTACCTTCTGTTTAACAAAATATAAAACAAACAGCAGCAATAGTTTACTTTGATTTTAAATTTTTATATACACGCACATACATAAATCTGTATGTTTTAAATGTAAAATGGCGGTGCATTGGCAAGTCCTGCTAAATAAAAACAATGTTAACCTCCAAATCCAATGAAGAATATCTCGGACAAAATTTTGCAAATTTTCTCAAAGTATGAAAGTAAGCAACAAGTGCTCTCTTAGCAAAGAAGAATTACACTTTAAACTTGTTTACTACGCGCCTAATAATGCGTTGTTCGGATTCGGTCCCCCATCCTGAACGTATGAGCTGCAGATAGTTAGCCTTGCGTTGGTAGAATTGGTAAGGACTTAACCTTTTTCTCGAATAGCGGAAGCAACACTGTGTAACCTTGCCTCTAGCTGGTCCTAATTGACAATCGCACATAGTCGCATAAAATAATCCATAAGTTTCATATCACACAGCCGGAGAGGCCAGTGCTTCGGTCCTTCCCTGTTTTATATGCCTTTACAACTGTACAGTGCTGCGACGAGTTCAATAAACTTCGTCAATTGTCGCACTCCACTAAGAGATCATTTCTATCATCGACCATACGAAAAAAATGATCAAACCAATACAGGTAATACTTTTGAAGCATTTTATTGTCAGAAACATGAATGTGTAAAAATTAAAATTTTGGGAAATCAAGTTTGAAAGATTCTTTTTACGGGACTTAAGTCTACATTAACATCAATATAAATATCAGTCAGCCTTGAAATCCAACGGAGAATCACTCTTGCTAACAAGTTCTACTTTGGACAGAGTAGGGAAATGAGGAGTAAAGTCATCTCTCGTCGTACAAAAATCACAGCTCTGAAAGAAAGACCAGATGGAGAAGGACTTGGGGCTTCACTTGGCATTTCCAATTGGAACAGAATAGAAACGACTGGCGCGGAAGAAGATATATTTTACTCTACGTCATTCCACATTCCGCGATCAAAAGCGGGTTTAAAACTTACGGCGCGGCGGCACTGTTAAAATCTGATCTATTCAGAGTAGGTACTGAAGGCAAGTCGATAAAAGAATCTATTTAAATTGTTAAGTGTCATTTCTATTAAAAAGTTTATCGCTGGAATTTTCCGACTGATAACTCTGCTCAAAGAATAAAACACATATCAAAGTGCTTTTGAGTTCACAAAAAAATGCAAATTATTTGGATATTTTATAAGGTTAATGTTAAAAAAAAAAAAACAATATCACAAAATAAAGTGATTGCGATTTCAAAGGGGTTTCGTGTAATCTTGAAACCAACCTGGCGAAACCCAAAAGCACTGAAAGCCTTTTAAAGAAATGTGTGAAATGTAAAAGCATCGGTGAATAATTTACTGAGCGGGCGGAAAAATTGCATTTAAGTATGAGATAAAACATAATAATCATCCAATTTATTTCACATACATATGTAAGTACTTAACTTTATTACTTTGGTAGAACCACTCAAGCATATATGTAAATATGTATGTGTTCATATTTCTCATTAGAAATACATTAATACGTAATAATATGTAGATTGGCGCTTACACATATGTGAGTGTTTGGCCGAGCTTCTCCTCCGATTTGTGGCGTGCACCTACAGTTTCACGCCGACTCTCCGAACGGCGATTGTATTTTTATGAGAAGCTCTTTTTCATGGCAGAAATACACTCGGAGGTTTGTCATTGTCTGCCGAGGGGCGGCCGCTGCTAAGAAAAAAAACTTTTTTCTTGGTTTTTTTTTGCGATGTTGTTTGACCAGGGCTTGAACACCACAGCGGCCGACCGACCATACATTAATATGTAGTAGTATGTAAATTCCAGTATATCACCATTAAAAAGTGTAGAATACTTGAATGTTTATATGTAAATAAATCAATTATAAAACAAAAAGCCATGGAAAAGTGCTTGTATTTATATCCTTTTAAGCTTAAACCCAACATAGTACAATTATTTTACCATCGTAGATTTACTAGAAACTAAATCCCGTCTCAATTAATCGTAACATCCTACTTTTAACAGCAACACTATGCGCTTTATAATGTGTTAATATGTAAGTGAAAATGTGTTGATGTTTTTATGTGATTATTAAAAAAAGTCTCAAAACCGAAATTATGCCACTCACTTAGAAATGCTGATAAGAATTGTGAACTAGAAACCTTTTAGTAATATGTCCTACTTGTGTGGGCACAAGTACTCTGTGCATTTAATAAGTATCTATGTACTAGTTTTTAGCTGCAGTTACTTGCTCTTGTGCACATAAAATGTTGGCCTTTGACTTGAGTAGGTGTTCTTACATAAGTATGCATGTATGTACATTGGGGTGGCCAATTTTCCTCCAATTTTCTTTCTTTATATATTATTATATTATTTAGAGGTCGCGCGACTTGTCAGTTTAGGTCAGAAAATACGGTTTTGTAGATTTATCAGTTTTTGAATCGAACACGTGGTGTGTTGTAGTCTATTGTCAGACTTGGATTGTTGGGATTTTTAATTGGTCAAATAAAAATATTTATATTTTCTTGGTTTTTTAGATTTTGACAATCGCTTATTTCCACACTTTCAAAATATGTACTACTTTCTAAATTAAATCTATTTTCAAATAAACTGATACCTCACTTATTGCAATCGCATAAAAATTGTCGAAGTTAGGCAACTTTTCTTAAATACGGCCTTGAAGTTATATGTATGTGTGTATGTATCGGACTTTCAGATTTATTGAGCAGTGGGGCTAAGGAATTCATCAATATAAATATATTTAAAATTGGTCTTTAGCACAAAAATTGGCATTTCATAAAATTCTGGGAAAATGCGGGTGGCACCGCCCACTTATATCATATATGTATGTGTATCTCAAAACCTACTCGCTTAAATTTTTTATCTACTGTTATTACGTAGATCACTAGTAGATATACGTTTCGTTAATCTAAAAAAGTGGAATGGATCTCTTAATGAAATATGTATTTGTTTTGTTTCGTTTGCTTAGGTATGTATATGCTGCGCCATAAGAAACAATAGACTATTCTTTTATAAAAAAAAAGACTGGGCCGATGTGTTTTCAAGCTAAGATTTCATGATAAAAGAAACGATTCGTTATTCCATCAGTTCGAATTACCGACTTTGAATTAAACTAAAAGCCTTTTTGCCCTGTGTGGACCCTGCAAGGTATGAAATATGTATGTATCTCGAATTTAGACGCTTCGAATAATGCTATAGTCTAAACTCAAGAACTATTTAATAATGTTAAGAAGACTTATAGTTGATTTCCACCAAGCCTTAACTGCAGTTTATGCCTATTAGAAAAAGGAGATTACAACTCGACGGGCTGGTAATTCCACCTACTAAGTAGAAGCAAACAAAAGGAAAAAAGCAAAAATTAAGAAATAAATAAACCGATTGCCGATCACCTCATGTTAAAATTCTTAGAACTTATCTGAACTCTTAACTGCAGTTAAGCCTTTGGTGGAAATAGGCTATTAGATTAGATAATATCCTACAGAATTGTATTTTAAAGTTCAAAAGTAGCCTTCCGACTTTCTATTTAAGCTTGTAGTATGTTCTACTATGTAAGGCGCCAGCCTAGAATACTCTTAAAAAATTAGAAAAGTGAAAATTGGTGTTTCCAAGACAGCTGAAATTATCTACATACATATACATATGTATCTTCACATTTCACATTTTGTAATGAAAAAGTTCAGCACTAAATGTCCGTGCCAATTAAGACGTTCCCACATGACATTGTACATACATTAGCCCCGTTCTCGAGGGTTTACTGCTGTCACTGATGCGTTATAATAGCAATACATATTTAAATGCAAATATCACTCATTTTCTAAAAGACTCTTTGTCACAATGCATATTCGCTTCTTATGAGAAAACTAAAAAATATTTTCGTATGGATTTTTTACCGCATATATAAAGTATGATATGTATTTATAAGCAATAATTCTGAAAAAATATCTCAAAAATTACTTATTTTGAGTTGCGACAGCCTTTCAGTAAATTCGCGATATTTGCATTTACATTATTTTTTCTTGAATGGCATAAATACCTTCTCGCTTCGGAGATGACTTTGCGCAGAAATTGCGGCGTACGTGCGAAATTCTGCAGATTCTCCATTTTCTTAAGACAGGTGTTGCCCCGGGTGTTAAACGAAATTACAGCAATTGTTGTTGTTGGTGCTAATACCATACAACTTTCTGACGTATAGTTTTCACTTCACCACTAAAATTTTTCACGATCACAATAATAATCGTGTATTTTTATATATTAAATTAAGATTTAGTTAATTTTATTTTCTTAACTTAAATTTTTATGTATTAATATTTGAGCAAATACATTTATTGCTTGCCCAAGCCAACAAACAAAAACGTTGATTTACGAACCACCAAGTGGCTGTGTTTGAACGCACAAATATAAGCGCATACACATAAGAGTACAACTGGGACTGCGGCAGTGACCAGCAGAACAACAAAATTTTACTGGAACGATGTTTGCGCTGATATACTTTCTGTCGCAATCTATTTGCTATTCGCCTTTAATTCTTTGTATTTTCTTTTTCAAGAGCTCCCGAAGAAATCAATAATTAACGAACGAACGATCACGATTCATATGAGGAAAAAAAGTCGAAACCGAGCAGAAAAGCAAACACATATCACTGTAACATTTGATGATAAATTAGCAATAATATAATATATGTATGCTTTTTTCTTTGTATCTTCAAGATAGGTACTTTGAGCATTTTAATTTCGTGCGACTGGCAGCATAACATACTTTCATCAAATTTCAAGCACCCACTGGTGCAAGAAGGCTTTTAACACAGGTACTCTTTCTTAAGCTGATGTCACATAAAACTTTTGCTTCGCTTTACGTGACAGATTCGCTTTGACAGATAAGATGAATTGTATGAAAATGCACAAAGCATGCCACATAAATCGTTGAAGCGGCAGCGCGAAGCGAAAAGATGGTCAACTCCCATCTTTTTGCGCGCTTTGACAATCAGCCGGTTTAATATTTATTTTGTTTCGTCCAAATTCGGGTTTTCATGCAGAAACATAAAACTTAATTACATTGCTGATAATTTTAAATCAAAATAATTAAAATCCACAGCAACTTTGTTGAGTAAAAAAGCGGTACAACGTTGTTTTCTTGGCGTTCATTGTGGCATACCTTTTGCGTCTGGCGCTTTGCTGGCAAAGTTATAAATGTCACGCAAAGCTACAAAGTTTTATCTGGCATCAGCTTTATACATATGGATTTGTGAATGCGTAAGATTGGTTACAATACGGCAAGAAGAATATTTTCACATTTTTTCACAAGAGAAAATTCTGTTAATGGTTTTTCACACACTCTTCTCACCACCACAATTTTCTTTTTTCCTATAGCGAACGCATCCGTACGCACAGACTCACTAATCCGATTCGACCGTCCATTGCCTCTTGCATCGAAAAAATGACTGGTTCGCGCTGCTTGCCTGCTCGACGGCTGAACTGCCTCGTTGGCTGCCTTGTTCATTCGCTCGCACCGATAATACGAGCAACTGCAAGGAAATAGTACAAGTGACGCGTTGCCACCATTCCGTTCCGGAGCGATAGCTGCTGTGAAACGATTGCCATTAAATGTATACATATTGTTGTTGCCCAACAGCCAACAAAGTCATGTAGCGTGTTCGGTGATGCGTGCGTCCACAAAGAGTCGACTGAGGAAAACGTCAACACCCAAGTCGATTTTAGAGGCAATGTTGTGCTTTTGCTTGTTGTGCTCCAAGCAAATTCATAACGAATTTTAGGAGGCGGCGGGTGGCGCAGTATAGTGGCCCAGTTTGTGGTGGTGAGTTGATGGCGCTGGTGATGGCGGTGATGTATCCGGCTGTAGTGAGCGAAATGAGTGCGTTGAGAACATTTTTTGCTCTCATGTGTGCTGACATACATACATACACATATGTATATAGTGTTGTGGGGCAAGAAACAAAAGGCAAAGCAAGATAATGAGGCTTGAGCAAGCAAGACATGACTACGGGCACCCGAGGAAAACAAAAAAATACTATTGTACAAATTGGGACATATGAAAAGTCTCCGCGGATTTTGGGGTACATTTTTTAACACAATTTGCAATTTATTGAGCTTGAGCGCACTTCAACAGTACAAAAATTGAGTTTATTGGCTATTGCTATCTCCGACCTTCTGCCCTTTTTCGGGTAGATTCATAATTCCATCGGTGTAGGACTTCTGTGGTTTATGGGCGAAAAACTGGGCAAAGTGATTTTCAGCGGCTCTTCGGTCGGCCAATTTTTTATCATCAAGAGATTTTTGCCGAGGCCATACTGTGGATGCATTAAAACTTCCCAATCAAGTTTCCTCAATTTTTTCCGAGTCATCAAAGATTTGTGTGGGTGGCCACTTGTGGTCGCTTTTTCTTAAACATTTCGCCACGATGTAACAGTTCATTCCTAATGGACAATTCCCGTTCAGTCCCTTCAAACACTCAATATAACCTTGTTTGCCGTCAATTCAGGCTTTGAAATCATTTGCGGAGGGTCATCAGTATATTACCATGATCACTTGTGTTGCTTATTCTCGTATTCAATCCATGAGCGACGTGCATCTTTGACATCAAAATTTCCACAACGGAATTCCAGCATTCACTTACAGCATTCACATCGTACGCTTCGTATTTCTTCAGATATTTTACTCATTTTCAAATCGATATAATTTTTTGTTCGAGTGACGAATTACAAAAATGTTGTCACTAAAAATGTAGCCTGAAATGTCACCTTTTCAACTCACGTTAGGTTAATGCAATTTTGTTAGTGTTGCCATATTATGTATGGCCATCAAGTGGTAAAAATCTGCAGTTACTTTGCAAATGACCCAATATAACCAACCATATGTATGTATGTATGTACATACATACGCACAAATGTAGCTGCAATGGGGTGCAATACGTACGTTTGAGAATTTTCTCATTTCATTTACCAAGAATACATGTGCATACATAGTTACATGTTTACACGCGGGGACCGACCTTTCATTGCATTTTGTCTTGTTTTTATTTACTCTTACATTTGCCAATTTTTCTCCATTTTGCTGCACGCAAGCTTCATCTCCCATGTTTATTTAATGCTTTTGTTTTATTGTTGTTCTTGTTTGCTTTCATCTCTTGATACTTTTTCCAAAGCAGAGTGCTTCTGAAAGTGTGAAGGCAAGAATTTAGTTGCATCTTTTTGATTTTAACTGGAGACAGAGGGCTTGAACTGAAATATTTCTGAAATTCTGAATTCGAAATTTTTAACTAAATATGCCTTTGCTAAATATGATCTGGTACATTAAATTGGGATCTTGAATATATACATATACATACGGTGACCATATTTATGGGAGCCGAATACGGGACAAAAATAATTTTGCGAATTTTTTCCACAAATGCTAAAAGATCTTAAAACCATTTTAAACGATCCTAGATGTATTAGCCTTAAAACAGCACCACTGTAGTAGCATCACACATGTGTAGGATACGTTTCTCGAGATTTTTACCCCACAACAGTTTTTACAAAAAAATCGTTAAATTTTAGTATAATGAAGTACAAGTTTGAAGTAGCTGGGACTAATCGTTAATTTTTGGCAACGTTTTTTTTTTTGTTTGGTGCTACGCATTTTTTTCATCCAAAGGAAGTATGTTCGAAAATTTTTTTATAGGGAAGCAAATGAGTAGCACGTCGCACTTTATTGTACTCATTTTAATGAGATACAAAACTGCAAGCAAATTTTTTCTAAATTTTCTGATTAAAAAGTGCGATATTTTGGTGCAACTTTGCAGAATTAATTTTCATTGTTTTTGCACAAAGTCGGATATTTGGATTTATTTGGTTTTTATTAGGAAAGAGGCTTTACTTTCATAAAAAAATAATAAACAAAAAAAATAGGCAAACTTCGCTAAAGTGTATAGTCCTAATTTATATTTTGGTCACTGTATGTATTCCTCACTTCGAGTCAAAGGCTTCCAGATTGAAAAATAATAACTGATAATGGAGAAAGTTGCGATCATATACCAATATTATTTAAAACAGGTTCATAGGCATGCCATTTTAATGAGCTGTTAAGGCGTCGAATTAACGAACATCGAATACGGGACAAATACAGGACATTAAAAGAAATACAGAACATTTAGCGTCCCGTATAAAATTAATTAATTACCAGGACAATTGGTCAAAAAAGAGGACTGTCTCGTATAATACAGGACGGATGGTCACCGTACATATACACGTTTTTAACCCTATTTTCAAAGTGCAACGAGATTGATGTTAAGGGGTTATATCTTGGCAGATCTTTCAAGCACCAATTTGCTGGTTCTGCATTTTCAGTTAAATTGCGGTTAGTCGTGGTACTTTGTTAGGTTTTCGGAAATAAAATTTTCGAATCGTTTTCGGAATTTAATATCGACTTTTGGAAAAAAAATTACTTTAGAAAGTCACTTTAAATGCAAGTTGTATCTGTGCTCCAGAAATTACTCTCACAAATTCTTTGAGTTTGACCGCTTTTAAGTGAAAAAAAATTAAAAATTAAATTTTACAATCGCTAATTAACACCAACAGGGTAATTTCGGCAACTGTCTTTCAACAAGTCTTTCGTAAGGCTATTGTCAATTTTGGCAACTATGTTGAACGCTCTTTTCTGTATTTCAAAAGACTTATTGAAAAAATCTGCTAACGAGGAGCACTCTTGCGTTATTCTGTTTGTCTTGTAGCAATAAGTTTCCTAAAAAGTTAATTAAATAAAAAATATATGTTTTTTTCTTTGTAAGATAATAGAAACTAAAAATTAAAAAAAGATTAATTAAAAAGGAAAACAAATTCATGTGTATGTATTTTATTTAAACAATAAAATCTAATAATTAGATGAAAATTAAATAAAAAAATAAAGATCCTTAAAATTAAAAAAAAAAAATATTATTTTTCTTGTTAAAGCAATGAAATTAAAAAAGCGAGAAAACAATTAAAAAAAGAAAAATAGAAATCCAAGTTTCTACAAAATAAATGAAATAACATTTTTTTTTAAACAAATGTATTAGAAAAAAAAGAAAACAAATATATTTTTTTCTTGTTAAAACAATAAAATCTTAAAATTAAAATTTGATTCAATTAAAAAAGAAAAAATAACCTCAGATGCCTGTTTCTTAAACTTTATTTTAGGCATTTCAAAGCTATTTTAAAGTTATACAGACTAAATATTTTCAGAAAGACTTTTTTATATAAATAATTTCATAATTTCACGCTTCCGTGCTTGAAAAAGCTTGTAATTATAAAACTGCTTTTGCAGATTCTTAGTTCAGTCTCTCAAAGTCATTGAAGTAAAAACAAAAGACTTAAGAAACAAACCAGAATTCATACGCAGTTAACTTATAGCCGGTTTTGAGTTAAATGAAATTGTCTCTATTTGGTATGGTTAAAGGTGAATTAACCCTAAAAGCTCAAAAGTTATTGTACTCAAAAAAAAAAAAAATGCTGAAAGGTTTTGCAGAATTTATTTTGCCATTCCATTTGTCATTAACAGGTCTACTCGCAAGTTATCGATGATTTTGTAACCTAAAATTTGTATTAACAAAAACTAAAAATCGGACCTTTTTTATCGGCTATAAAATGTTTGCTATCAGCGCAGAATGGACCCGCTGCCCGTCACAAGCCTCCCGAGGATTTTTTAACGGCAAATTTTCTTACCAAAAACCTTTAACACTTTTAATAGATACCTGGTCGCGATTTTGGCAAAGATGTCAAGGTATTCAGCAATTCAGCAATGGATTTTCTCAGAAAACTGTTTAAGTATCACATATTAAAAAGGTGGTAACAATATTCCACGGTTTGGAAGAATGCATAGAATTCGAAGAAGGTGCAAAAGGAGCCAGAAATTATTGCAGAATAGACCTGTAAAAACCAAATAACTCCTGTCAATCGATGATGAAATATGAAAAAACGTACACAGTGCAAATTTGCGAGGTGAAAACATTTTGCGTGCATCATTTTTTTCGCGTTTGGGCTCATTTGACATCAGCCAAGTAAAAAACGCTGAAAACCCAAGAAGCGTCACAGCAGAAGACATTATTCTCGCTGGCGAAAGTCAAAATTTCTGTCAAGTTGCTTCTTGTAAACAATAACAAAGCGATTGTGTACTTGCACCAGTTATTGTTGCTTTTGTGTGCTGAAATGAGCGGAGGTAAATGCATCATTCCATGCAGTCTAAGTAGTAAAACGGTGACGGTGATGGTAGTAGTGATGTTCAAGAATGCAAAAAAGTGTTCTGCGCACGTACGAAGAACTCTTCAGAAAGAAAATTCATTTTGCTTGTAAACCAGCTAAGTTATAAACGAATATGTGTATATACATATATACGTATATGTTTGTATATGCATGACTAACTGTCTTTTAAGAGTAACCAAGTGTTGTAGATACATATGTATGTACATATAAAACTCATTCGCATTGCAGCTTTAATAATGTAAATTAATGCAATAACACCCACACGCTTTGCTTGACATATGACACCATTTGACGCACCCAAGAAGACCATACCATTGCTGTTGACGGTAGAGGACAGCAGTAAACCTGCTGCTGTAAACAACACATTTCATACACATTTGTATAAGGATATATTAACAATGC